AATCTGCCTCATACAGTTATTGTGAGAATCCACATAAATACTTGTGCATGGGGAGCACTCAATACGTTAGCCACTCTTATCAGCATCAAAATCATCATTATCGTCTTCATTAGTCTCATTTGCCACTTATCTCCTGTTCCAAGCATGCAGCATATGCTCAGTAAATATTTGTTAAGTGAAGAAGTGAATCAATTAAGTGCAGCTGTATCTGCATACACAAGTGGGTCTGACTACCCTCAGTATACTTCTAGGCAAGGTTCAGACAAATAGCAATTAAAAAAAAGACTCTAAAAATTAGTGTCACTGAATTATTCTTACTTGAACCTGCTGTTTGGAGATCTAGTTACAAAGTCCTAGTCATTCTCTAGTCCTTGGGGAATAGGTGTTCTTTCTATTTCCTTTTTGAACTTCTGATAGTGCCTAGCACAGAGGTTTATATCACTGCCACTAAAAAAACTCACAAATCTTATTTAGCAACCAAGTCATATAGGCAAAATTTGAAAACAAATGAACACAGATTATAGAATGGGTGTTAGAATTCTCATAATATTTAACTACATTATCTTAACAAATCCGGTTTGCAGCATTTATATTTCTTGCAATGTTGTTATACATTGAAGTGTCATAGTGAGAATCATTACTTCCATAGTTTCTAACTTAAAACTGCAGTAAAAAATAAATAAATAAAACTGCAGTAAAACTTATGTATCAATAAATAGTACTAAAGAGTTATATTTCTGTGAACTGCCTCATTGTGAGTGGACAACAAAAGTAAGTCTCAGGTTGTATGGCGTTGAAATACCTATTTTGTCACTGACAAATCATTTTAGATCTTATATTCATAATATTTCTCATCAGAAATGTTCTATATTAAATAGTACTGATAAATTTTCTAATTTGTTTTGAGCTTCACTATGGAAAGATGCTATCAGGTTATAGAGTAGCATTATTATATTTAAGGTTTATATTAGTTCTTTTTTAATTTATAAAAATGAACGTGAACTTTAGTAGCAAAGAGCTTACATACTTTTTATTAAGACAAGATGAATGGTGAATAATTATTTTAACTGGGTGAAGAAAAGAAGGGATGAAGACTGAGACAAGAGTTAATCTTTTTTTTTTTTTTGTGCAGTACGCGGGCCGCTCACTGCTGTGGCCTCTCCCGCTGCGGAGCACAGGCTCCGGACGCACAGGCTCAGCGGCCATGGCTCACGGGCCTACGAATCCGTGCCCCCTGCATCGACAGGCAGACTCTCAACCACTGCGCCACCAGGGAAGCCCAAGAGTTAATCTTAAATTCCTCTTTTTACTGTGTACATTCTTTGTGCAATTATTTTGTTTTCACTGTATTTTCCAGATTGAAAATAAACTTTAAAAAACTCATAAAATATTCATAAACCCTGATCCCCTTCATCACACCATCTCCCAGAAGTGTACTGAAAAAAGAACTGCAGGTCCTAAAAGCTGAAGCCAGTGGTTCTCAAACATTTGTGTGTACACTGCAGACTGACCAGGGGTACTTGTTAAAAATGCAGATTCCGACTGAATGTCAATATTATGACATAGTATGAGTGTGTTTCGTGTTTGGTAATTGCAATCATTGTTGCTTTTGTTGAGGTCATCCATTTACAATGTTTGGTATCGGTTTATTTATCTCTTGTAAAAATAAAATACAGTGTGTGTGTGTGAAAAACAAAAAAGGTAATTATCATTAAGCTTTTTTTTCTGAAAAAGAAATGCAGATTCCTGGGACACACCAAGATTTACTTCTGATCTCTTGAGGTGTGGCTCAGAGTCAAATGAGAAAATGTGTCAAGGTAGAAGAAAGAAAACTAACTAGTATTTGTTCTTCTATCTAAAATCTAAAAATATTCTTCTACTTTCTTCTTTGCCTATTTTTACCTTCTCTGGGCTTAAAGATGGGGCTCTAATTGCTTCTCAGACGCATTTCAAACCCTCTTGGGGATTCTCGACAGCAGCTCAAGCTGAAGCTGCCCAGTCATTTTAATACATACTGGACCCAGGGTTGCTGAAATTCCAAACCCTAAACTGGAAAGGAATACTAAACAAACACCAACTTAAAGACACATATAAACCATCTCCCTCCTTACATAACTGTTATAATGAATTGACTACTAATATGTGTTAGGCACTGAGCTAATTAAGTGTTTTATATACACTATCAGTTGCTTTCACATAAAAGCCCCCCTGCCCCCAACATGAATACTTCACCAGAAGCAAGAAGGGTGGACAGTTCTGATTCTGTCTTTGCTACTGATTTCTAATAAACTCTGACTTATTCTTTAGCAACTGGGATGAGTCTCCTAAAGATAAATGAAGGTTGCCCAAGGTGTTGGTGAGAGAAGACCCAGATGTTCAAAGGATGCTTCTCTTCATCCAAGTCCAGCTGTAATCTTGGGAAACTCAAACATCCACATGGATCATCTAGCCAATGCTCTGGGCCTCTCCATTCCTTGATCTTGGATGACCTTCTTCACTCCACTCAACTACCCATTCTTCATGTTTACCTCTGGTCATTGCAGCACTCTTCTGCAATAATAAATTTAGACATTCCTCCAATTTGACTACAACCTCCTATCTTTCTAACCATCTTACTCAAGTAATCCCTTTATCCAACCTTAAAAAAAAAAACAACAATCTTATAGGGCTCCTAGTTCATTCACTCTCCTTTTTCCCTACTAGACTTTTTCTGTTTTCACTTCCCTCCTTAACTGCTTAGAGTCCATGGCCCAACATTTCAATATGTTTTCCTACACTACCTTGCCTCACTGTCCATGAAGTGCACTTGCCTGGAAAACCCCGAGGTTGGATGAACCCAGCTGACTGGCTTCTCTGGGTAACACACTGTTGCCCCTACAAACAAATCATCATCAGCCATAACTGGGCCCTCAGCCCTGCTCAGCCACTGTACTATGTAATCTTAGACAACTCTCCAGATATTATGATTTAAAGAATAAAAAAATCATAAAGGTACTAGAGGAAAATAAAAGAGAATGTGTATAATTATGGGGTGGGATTTAAGGCATAAAAACAAGACCAGAAACTACAGAAAAAATGACTGACATTTTTGGCTCCATAAAAATTAAAAACTTCTGTATGAAAAAAAAAAAACCACCCCATAAGCAAAATGCAAAGATAAAAGGCAAAATATATACCACATATAATAAGGATTGTTATCCATCATTTATTAAGAACTCCTACAAATCAATAAGAAAATGATAAAGATTCAATAGAAAAAGATCTGGTAATTTATAAGATAAATATAAATAGCCAATAATTATATAAAAATATGTTCAACGTTCCTGCTTATCAAGTAAACCCAAATTTAGTTGTTTTTTGTAGATGAGAGCAATTAAAATAATTAATAACACTTTTGCTTTTTCAGGATCCTTTAATAGCATTCGATACTGTCTACCAGCCCTCTGACTCAGAGCATTTCTCTTCCCCTGGTATTCCTTCCTCTGATTTCTTCCTTAGTTCTCAGAGGTCTCCTTCTGTGCTGCTCCTCAAGGACCTTGCTGCACAGCCATCCTTTGCTGGGCTTCTCACTGAACATGCCCTCTGAGGGTGAGTTCTTCAGTCCAATCACTTGCAAATCTCTATCTCTTGAGTTTCAGTCAATATATCTAATAGCGTAGTTCATTTCTACTTGGCAGTCTTGTAGGCGCTGCCAACTCAGCATGTCAAAACTGAGCTAATCATTCCCCCACAAACGTGCTTCTCTTCCTGACTTCAGTTTCTCTGTTAATGAGAGAACATCCACACAGTTGCCCAAATCAAAAAAATTTGGGTGCCAACCTTGATGCTTTCCATTCTAATACCAATTCAGGTCCTGTTGACTCTCCTCACATCAAAATATTCTCTCCATCTCCACTGTCTCATCCTGGTCATCATAATCCAACTAGTTTTGATTAGTCTCATCTTCCCATCATCCTCCAATATATTCCCCTTATCAGAGCTGGAATGATATTCCCTAGAATTACAGTCCCTTTCTTTCCTTTACTTTTTTTTTTAAGTCTATTTAAAAAAATAAATTTATTTATTTCATTTATTTTTGACTGTGTTGGGTCTTTGTTGCTTTGTGCGAGCTTTCTCTAATTGCAGCAAGCAGGGGCTACTCTTCATTGCGGTATGTGGGCTTCTCATTGTGGTGGCTTCTCCTGTTGTGGAGCACGGGCTCTAGGCATGTGGGCTTCAGTAGTCGTGGCATGCGGGATCAGTAGCTGAGGCTTGCAGGTTCTAGAGCGCAGGCTCAGTAGTTATGGTGCACGGATTTAGTTGCTCCGCAGCGTGTGGTATCTTCCCGGACCAGGGGTTGAACCCATGTCCCCTGCATTGGCAGGTGGATTCTTAACTACTGCGCCAACAGGGGAGCCCCATTCCCTTTCTTAGAAGCCTTCTTTCCAAGTTCTCTTACAAGGTTTAGAAGGCTCGCCACAATCTAGTTCCTGCTCACTCTCCAGTCTCACTTCTTTTCACAACTCTACCCTCATACTCTACTCTACGGCAATACTGGACTTTCTTCAGTCCTCAAATGTACAATGTATTCTCTTGCCTTTGTCTTTGCCTAGAACCTGGAAAACTATTTTCTGAGCCCCTACCCTTAGCCCTTACACATAATTCCACCCTCACCAAACAAAGTAGCTAACTCTGACACTTTTCAGTCCTTAGCTTTTTGAGAGCAGGGACTGTGTTTGTTGTTTTAGAGTTGTGTCCTTAGTACTTAGTACAGAACCTGGCATATGGAGGTGCAGAGTGGCTGAACATGAATGAGTATTGTGTCAAAACCCACAATGCTGCATGCTTTACTCTGTCATTGTAAAAGTGGTGATGAATCATTAGAAGTCTTACTGTCCCAGATTAGACTAGGCCAAATTGCTTCCCCATATTGCTAAGATAACAACATTCTCCCAGATGTTTGCTCACATAATTAAAAAATAAAGAAATCTGTTTGGAGTCAAGTCAGTCCTTAGACTTACCCTCTGTTCTTTTCCTTACCCTCACGCACAGCAAAAATGGGTCAGAAATGTAGGTATCTCGTAGATATGAAAAATTTCTTTATGTCCAAAAACAAATGAAAAATCTTGCCCTAGTAAACTTTTCTCCTCTTGGGCTTGTATTGGCTAACGGCATCACTGATCATCCACCTTGTAAAAGTAGGAAGCACTCATCTCTCTTTCTCATTTAAGCAGCAAGTTGCAGTCTCTGTTGCCTAGCAATGTACTCCTTCCTCTCCCATCTCCATGATAACCACTTTAATTCTCATCACGACCTCCCTGAATATACCTCTAACTGGTCTCATCTCGTTTAATCTCTTCTCCTCCAGTCTATCCTCACATCACCACCACCAACCTGATCATGCTAGTCCTAAACTCATAAAATTCTGGTGGATCCTCACTATGCCTAGAGGATAAAGTCCAAGCTACTCCTTAGCAGAATTCTCTCTATATTATAGACCTTATTTCCCATAACTCCTCATGTCATGGGCACTTGCGCTCAGCCATACTAAATTTTTCCATTCCCTGAAACCCTCGAAGCTAGTCTGTATTCTGTACTTGGGCATAAGATCTTATTTTCCTGTGTAGAATGCCCTATTTTTCTCTAGTCATTACTTCTGGAAACAGTTCAAATTTTACTTCCGGTGAGGCCAGTGACTTCCCACTGCGCGTTCATAGCACTTCACATGTTTTCCTAGTGTAATACTTACCACATTGCTTTGTAATCATTTATTTACATGCTGTTGTGGGGACTGGTAACAGTTCCTGAAAACCTTTGCTAAAACAATTAAAACAAAGCACGTGGATGCCCAGCACATTACATTTTCCAGCCTTCTTTGCCAGGTGTGGCCATTTGACTACATCCTTTCCAATGTTAACAAGTGTGGAATTTATTTGTGTCACTTCTGACCAATGCCTTAAGGAAGTGGGTAAGACTCCTCTGTGCTCTTATCGCCTCTTCCTGAGGTCTAGAATACTGATGAATCTGCAACCCAGCTGTGACCATGCAGATGACAATACTGCCTAGGTGGTGGTCAAGAAATAGGATGGAAGGAACCTGGTCCCTGAAGCTGGCTGTGTGGGGTGATGCCATCTGCTTATCTGGAATGCCCACCTTGGACTGTTTCATGTGAAAGAAATGAACTTCTATATTCTCTCTCTATCTGGGGTCTTTTTGTTAGGGCAGCTTAGCTTTACCTAGCTAATACAGGCATTTTTCTTCTTTTGGTTTGTTGGTCCCTTAAGCTGGCTTATGCTTCTTTGTGTCTCCTGTGACAAGAAAACGGTACTTAAATTAATGCTAGCTGAATAAACCTTGAAGATAAAATGGTACCTTGCCTGTGCTCAGTCTTGCAGAAGGACCAGAGGCAAAGAGATAAGAAGAAGCAATAAACTGAGAAATGTTTCGTATGTTACCATGTCTGGACATCTTTGGAGACGTTTAGGTCTAGCGATAAAGGATCTGAGGATGCTTAAAGAAATGGAACTAGGAAAACAGATGTAGAATCTGAGATCAGGCTAGGATGAAACACTGGTAACCTCTCCAAAAGGAACGGAGTAAATGAAGACCATCAACTGCACAAGCAGCAGAAATATGGTTCAGTAATACCCATACCTACCGGATACTGGTCTACTTTCCCCCTGGTAATCCTGCTTTATTGCTTAACTGTACATGAGCTAGTTCCTCAAGACAGGTACTTCCTCTCCTTCACTTCGTCCATCCCTACCATCAACCATGCTTCACAGTATTAACGCCCTTGTACAGCCTCCTCTCCCTGAATGTGGGCTGCCCTCATAACTTTCTTTTTGAACACAGAATATGGTAGAAGTGATGCTGCCTGACTTTTGAGGCTAGGTCATAAGTTTTGCAACTACTGTCTGGGACTCTTGGAGTACTTACTTGCTCTTTGAATGCTCCCTCTTGGAACCCAGCACATGCGTCAGGAAGCCCAAGATACATGGAGAGGTCACGTGTAGTGCTCCAGTAGACAGCCCCGGCTGAATTCCCAGCCAAGAGCTAGCATCAGCTCTCAGCTGTGAATGAGCTCCTCTGGGTGTCCAGCTCAGTGACCTTTCAGATGACTCCGGCCCCAATGAGAATTTGACTTGAACCATATGAGAGATCCCAGGCAAGAACCTCCCGGCTAGCTCAGTCAACCCATGGGACCGTGAAAGATAATAACAGGTTGTTGTTTTAGGCCACTACATTTTTAGATGGTTTGTTATACAGAAGCAGATCACCAGAACACTAAAACTGATATAAACCTGAGCTTTGTATAACGTTTTGAAGACTTTTTCAGCATTACTTGGAAGTGGTTTGGGCTATTAAAGAACAGTGCCTCCTCAAAACCAATGTAACAGCCTTACTTTCTTCTTGACTTAATGTTTTTTTTCTCTTAAGTTTCAAAATCATCATAAAAAATAATGAATGTTTGAGGAGGCTATTCAAAACCTATTTTTCCTTCAATGTGCTTACTTCTTGAGTGGAAAAAGACACAGAACTATTGTGGAAACAACAAGTGGACTAAATTATGCTTAACTTCCTAAGAAAGACAAATTGGAATGGAACATGGAGTCAAAAAGTGCAAACATATCAGAACGATATTTTTGTAGTAATGTACAGATTGAAATTGGCAGCATTTATTACTAAATGGACATAGTTGGAATATAGTCACTGTGGTAACCAATCAGAAGAAATTGTCAAGACCTAGTCTGGTATCTACCCCATATATCCCCCATCAAATCAGATTATCCTCATTTAACCATCTCTCAATCTATGGCACTCCTCCGTACTACAGCTCTGGGATAACTTTGCTCTGCGAAGTCAATCATTTGCTTCCAAATGAAAGTATCCTAAAGGCTTGGTAATCTTAGAAGAGGGCAAGACTATCTGAATCCTGAAATAATTAAAAAATATATAAAGTTTGAATGCAAGGAGTTTAATTTCAAGTCTCAGTTTCCATGCCTTCTTCTCTATCTACCTCTCAAACACCAAGTGTCTTAAAGCTGTTGGTGGTCCATCACTGCAATATCTTGGCTTGTAGGCATTCCTATGCATGAAATCTTTCCTGAACCTCCATGATAACTTCTTTGTGTCCCATTCTTTCAGTGATTTCACTAAATAGCTGACTGACCTGTTTGAAGAAAAAACTCAAGATGACTCTCATGGCCAAGTCACATGGATTCTATTGCTGTATGTATTTGGATTCTATCCCCTCTCTTCCTTTTCACTCTCATCATCAGCATTTAGGCCTTATTACCTTTTGCAGGGATGACAATAATGACCTTTAGGCTGCATTTTCCCTATCTTCAGACTTTCCTTCTCAATATATTTTACTCATAGCTGCTAGATCAATCTTTTTGAAGTACAGCTCTGATAGTTCATTTCCTTACTTAAACACCTTTGCTCCTACGGCCTTAAAGAAAAAAAAACATACCTCGCCCCCTCAGCCTATCATTTAATATCCTCTGTCATATCACTGCCAAAAAATTTATAACTTTATTTTCCTTATTCTCCATTCACACTCATGATGCATCTACCAAACTCCCCTCTTGCTATTGTCAATTCTTATGTAACATATTCTATACTTTCTAGCCCTTGCTCCTGTTGACAATCCTCACTGAAATATTCTTCTTCCCTTCTGTGAATCTCCAAATCCTACCCATCTTTCTGGGTTCAGCCTTAATAGACCTTCCCTCCTCAATCCCCGAATGTCTTGTTGGCTCTTATAATTAGATAGAATTACACCTTCTTCCAAATTTTTCTATTACTTATATCAGTCTCTGCCTTGTGATCCTTATTTCTTTCTCCTTGAATTATTAAATTTATAAAATTTTATCTCCTTCCTACTGTCCTTTATTCTATGAAAAGCAGAATATTCTGCACGTTATAAGTGCTCAATAATTATTGTTGCATGGGGGGGATGTTATTATTTTAATCTTACTCATTGTAGATAATATTTAAATTTACCAGTGGTCATAGAGAGACTAATATGGGGAATGAGAGAAAAGAGAGATTTTTTTTTTGGTGGGAAAATATGAATCAAAAATACTACAGTGCCTGCCATACAAACAGCTCTCTTCTCATATTACTTTTTCTCATTTCAAAAGACAAGTTTGGTTAGATCTTCCTGTCATGTTGAGAAAAAGGATAATCCATCTGCCTATTTTCACATTTATTTAGTTCTTATTCATCTTTATACCTATTCTCTTTTAAAATCTTATGCTATGAGATAGCTCCACCTCATCTGTCCTAATAACTACTGGTTCTCTCATTTGTTTGCTTTTCCCTTTGGGTTTTGATACTTTATGCATATCTCTCGCCTTTATGAACACCTGGGAGTTACCTTGCTTTGGTATATAACGCTGGTCTTGCTTACCCCTTGAGTAAGCACTTATAGTCTTTAAATCTTTTGTTTAAAACTTTCCTTATTAACATAAGCTTACTTAAATCATTTTATGACACCATTATTTAAGTAGCTAAATAATCCTACAAACAGCAAACTGAATGAAAAGGTCACCTCATGTATGACATGGAACCTTTATATTTTTTAATAAGTGCCTCACATACAACTCCTTTCTATTTCCTACGTAATTTTCTTGCTCAATTTTATGTTTGTGTGATGCCTCCATAATTAATTCAAACAACCACCCAAGTGAAAGTTTAATCTTAATGAAAAACGTTTTTAAACAAAAATAATGCAGGGAATTTATAGATTGCATTGTTTCTTACCACTTCAGCATGGCACATTTTCCCTGTTAATATTGGTACAATGTAGCATTTTATGCCATTACATGTAAAATAATTTTTTTTTACAAATAAAACCCCTACCAAGTGGGTAGAATGAAGCATATTTTAATACAGATATTTTAATTTCTCTTAATTAAGACCTTGCAGAGATTCTGCATTCATGTTCTACGGAAAGCTCATATTCACATATTTAAAGAAGCAGTTTGCTTTAGGGCTTAACCATTAAAAAAAAATGCCTCTAACACTTGGATCCCATATTACTTTAATGGCATAATCTCAGACATATAAT